TTTTCGGCGTCTTTTCGGTTTAGCGTTAGGTGTTTTTTGCTTGGTATCGTTTATTTCGGTTTTTCGTTCTGACTCTTGACTCGGTGGCGCTATTAGTTTTTTGACTGATTTTGGAATGGGAAGGATTGTCCCCTTCCTTGAGGTTTTGGTCTCATATAACATTGACTGGCGGTATGGTTAGGGTAACCACATGTATCGCAGAGCACAGGGATTGATCGAATTACGGGCATATACGGGCCGTTTGGGGCTTGAATGTCAACGTTTGTTGCTTGCTGTTGGTTGACTGACTGCTGTTGGAAGTGGTTCGATTGTGGGTACTGGTTCTGGTAGTTCTGATTCTGGTAATTCTGATTCTGGTAATTCTGATTCTGGTAATTCGATGGTCTCCTAGGCCATTGCTGCTGATTCCCAGGGGGGAATGGGTAAGGACTTCGGAAGTTTCCTCCTCTTCCTTGGTATCCGGATCTGAAGTTGTTTTGATAAAGGTACTGACCTCTAAAGTTATTATTCCCTCTGCTGTAATGATTTCTGGGTGAGTATTCGTTCGTGTATTGTCCGGAGTAGGGTTGTCTCGGCTGGTAACCTCTACCTCCTCCACGAAATCCTCGTTGGAAACCACTATTATTATTGTTTGGGAAACGATTCTGCTGATGCTGCTGTTCTTGTTGTTGTTGTTGCGTTTGCTGATTTGTTGATCGCTGTGCGGATGTCGATGCTTCTTGACGATCTCTATCGTTCATTTGAGTTCGAATTTCGTTCACTTGCTTCTCCATAGCTTCTTGCGTCGCAGTAAGCTTCGATAAGGCGCTGATAAGATTATCAGACACAGTCTCACTTATTTCGTTAAATCCATCCTCTGGATAATCTTCTTTTCTGCACATATCTCGGATGACCAGCTGTCTCCTTGCATACATACAAAGGTCTTGTACCGTGTTACCCGCAGGCTGTTCCATGAGCTTTGCACGAAGCCATCCAGGCATAGCTTTTACAAACAGTCTTCGAATTTGTGCGTCTCGATAATCCCTTACTGCGTCCAACCGTTCTTGACGATGTGCAGTTTCTCTGGCATGTCGTGCTGCTTCTAATGCGGCATTGACAGCTGCTGCATCAATTGGGTCAGGAATTGGTATTTCTGGCGTTGGGTACGCTTTTTGCGCTTTTTTCTGTAAGGTCACCAAGAAGTTTTCTGGCGTATCCTTCTTTAAGTCGCATTTTTGCTGTTCCAATTTCAATACATGGACTTCTTGGAGTTGCGGATTACTGAAATGATCGCGCAACGCTGTTAAGCTGTCGACTACGTTTGCTCTAGTCGCATCTGGTAATGTCTGGTAGAAACGAAGTGCATTATCACGCAAGTGGAGTTGTAGAAAATTCGCTTGTTGAGCCGGTAATACGCCTGCGACTCCGATGAATCCGTTGAAGAGTTGTTCGAATTGTGAAAAATCTTCGGTATCCGTCCCTCCGTACGGGTTAACTGAGATTTGAGCGTGCGCCATTTACAGTTTTATGATTTTCAGTCTGTTTTCAGTTAGGTTTGAACAATTTATAAAATTTATATGAACGAACTGGGTTGGTTTTATCACGAAAAAGCTGATATTTTAGCACAGCGCGGTTAAAATTGTTAGTAAGGCTAATTCAATGCTAATGCTGATTTCGATTTTAGAGTTTTCCGTCTTTAAGCTTCAATCTACTGCATTTACGCTCCTCCAATTTTCAATGATTTCCAATGATCATGATTGATTTCAATGTTTTTTGATTTGAGCGCACACCAATTTAATACTTCTCACTAATATATAGCACAAGAGTCTTAATAGTTTGACCTACAAGTTTGTAGAGACGAAAGTTCTCGAGTTTTCCAGTTACTTCACTTGAATGTAGTTTCCTCAATTGACAGAATCACAAAACACTCATTAGTAAGTTCACATTTCTGATTTGACACAGTTGCTGCGCTTGATCTACTGTTTCAGCTCGCCCTCAAGATGTCGTCTAGCTGGATTTCGTCTAGCTGGATGAGTGGAGATTGTCACTGTACTGTCGTTCGCGAACTATCACCATGTAATGCACTGCTTTTATTAATTAACCCGCATGGTTTCTAGATGTTATTGCATGTTATTAACTGGAGTTGATTTAGCAGTATCTCAATACGGACGCATGGGCCCCGACAGCATGGATTCTATCTCTATCACTTTCTCAGCTGTTTGAATTTAACTTTGGTTAGTAAACTTTATTACTTTCAGCTAGCTCGATATTCAATATTATGTCCCAACTAATAACTCACTATTTACTTTTAATAAACACTAACTTGTTCAACTGCATGCTTGGGATTTTAACATTAATAATTTATGACATCAATTTCTAATATAGCACTTATTTCATGGCTATCAATAGCGTGCCATTTATGGGTACGCTACACCTTTGTCAAATGTCTGGCTTGTTTGCCTTCTATAAACTTCCATCGAGATGTACGAAAATTCAATTTTTATAGACCTACTTTTTTCATTATTTCTCTTTTGTTTCGACTTGTGTTTTTGTTTGTGTTGTGTTTGCAACTGATTAAAAGCTCTGCTTCACCTCTGTGTCTAACTTAAGTTTCTGAAATGTTCACTTGCTTTTTTTTACAAAATTAATTAAGTTTGATTAAGTTTGATTTTTGTTTGATCTCATATTCCGAAAAAAGAAGTTTTTTGAAATTTATTAATTCTTGTTTTTAACCAAAATCCGAATTCGGGATTAAAATGTGAAGTATTCTCAAAATCAGTAGTTTGACGTTTGTGTTAGCTTGGTCATTAACCTCACATGACAGTCCTGCGCTCGCTCTCATTGCCTCAATGCCTTAGATGTTGTCCTAAGTGTGACTCCTCCTTTTTGTGTTCATCTAATCGAGTGACCAGATGTATAACTGTTTGTCCAACGTATTTGGAGTCAGATCCACAACATGAAATTTTCTAAGCCACTTCTGATTGAAGTTTACGCGAAAAGGAGGATTTGAAAGATAATAGGTATTTTTCAGCTTTCTGGTGTTGAATACAATTGTGGTCCTTTTGTTCCTTATGGTCCGGATAAGGTGCGATCCGCTATGATATGTATTGCCTTGCACTAGCACTTTTGGTGGTGTGTCTTTATAATCATGACCTCCTTGATTTTGGGTCCTGCCTGGGCTGTTGTTGACCTTCCTTTTTTATGATTTTATCTAAGATCATCGAGGCAAACTTATCTGTCGAGTATTCTGGATATTGGTTGTTAATACATAGTTGGTTCTGGGCATTGGTTGTTAACCCATCGTTTTATATTTACTTTCATCGCCCCATCAATTTTATTCCAGGTCACATTGCTTCTATTATGTTCTTCTTACAATGGAGTGGGGCACAATATCTAAAGTTGAGAATCGTCCATGTAACAGGTTTGAGTGTTATTTATTTACATTCAAACCTGTTATTCTCCTTTTTTTTCTCCTTTTGGGTTTTGTCAATTTTGTTCAACTCTCAGTATGACGAGCAAAACCAAACAAAATTAACCTTGTTATAAACAATATATAAAATCCTCCTTGTTTATCATTGCATTTTACGTGAGCTTGATCTACTGCTCAATCTGGCAATCTTTCTTTTTCTTGTGTGCTGTTTGACTGTTTTAGATCTAGCAGTTTGGGTTCGTATTGGTCTCTTTTTTTTTGAGATAATCTGCAGCTGTTTCATCCCTTTTTCAGATGGTGACTGTTCCCCGTGCTTTGCATAGATTTGAGCTGCCGCTTCAATCTCACATAATGACTCACCTGTTACTTTCCGATTTTTCAGTTGGGACAAAAAAGTCCACATCTGCAAAAAATTTTACTCCTTGTAAAATCGTTGAAATTATCTCGAACCGGTTGTTTGGCTCGCTGAAGCCCTCCAAAGCTTTTAATGACCTAGCACATCTGTACTCAACTGTCATGCTGCCTTTCTCAGAGTTGATTGATTTTGTTTTGAATTTCATTCACTGTTTTTTCTTTTCTCATGGATTAAGAACTGCAAAATTGACAGCCAAATTTTATCATCAAACCTCTTCTGCACTGCCACTCTTGCCTTCTCCAATTTTCGGTTTTGTTCTTCTCGTCAGTCCTCGTCTTATTCATTTCGGTTTGAGTAGTTGTAGCTGAAAACTATTAACCGCTTGGTTTAAAAGTATCCTGTTTTCTCGTACTCGAAATCGCAAAAAAACAGGTTCTATAACCTTTTTAAGCGATTTCTTGGAAACTCAAGTCTGTAAACAAATTATTTGATAAAGTATACTGTTTAAGATGCCAAGAAAATTACTTGCAGGCCACGAGATATGAATTTCACGAGGCTCAAAGCAAAGAGTAAACAACAACACTAACAGTTTGTTGGAGTACCGTTCACTTGCTCTCCTCCCGCCGAGAGTATGCTCTTCTCGATCAGTCCATGTGGGTTGCTCTCTGGTTTTCCGCTACAAGCCTGAGTGACTTCAATTTCAGGGCACTATCTTGATTGAACTCCAGATTCTCTCACACCAGCGCTGGCTCGTGCTTCCCATTCCTCTTCGATAGTAGGTGCTTGGTCACGGGAATGTCTAAAATGCCCGTTCGTCTCAGCGCATTTTCGGTATCAGGCAGTCTGTTTTTCCTGCAATACAATATCGCACTGATATGCGCTTTTCTCGTCTTCAGATCGTCTTCTTCTGTAGGCAAAGTGATGGTTGAAAAGGTCTCTCTTTCTGCGGTGTTCAGAATCCTTAAAAACAAAGAAAAATTCAGTACGAAAAAATTAAGTTTCGTTTTGAAATTTTTTTATTTATTCATTTCATTTTGTTTTATTGCTAAGATATTTGTATTTAATTATATATGCTGCTAGTCCTCCAATTTTTTTAGCACCTGTCCCCCACATCACGCTCAAAAAACAACAGGAATTAGTTTTTGACAATCGACGTTTTTTTGAGTAAGTGTAGTTCGAGCTTTCTGTGCTACTTGCGCATCAACGTGCATCTTCTATTACTTTCTTTTTTGATAGGCCAGAATATCCCAGATTCAACGCATATCCTTGAAATGTTTGTGGATGATTTCAAAGTTGACTTAGACGAGCATTTAACACAAGAAGAACGCGCTATCTCACGAGCTTTCCAGCGCATGCTGAGCGAGGGTGCATTGTTCGCTGGGTTTGCATGGCGCTTTACTCTTTCGGATAACGGAAAGCTGATGGTGAAAAGCCTCTTAGGCGGCGGAGTGGTAGGCAATGCAATTTCGCAATTCGCTGGAATGGGAATGAGAAAAAATGTGTGGGCACAGGGTACAGGGCGAATGACACGTGAGCAAATTTTGAAAGGCTGTTTTGATGACATCGATGCATGTTCAGTTTTTTTGGCGAACAAACCTTATATGATGGGCGATCGCGTATCTTTTATTGACTGTTTGATGTTCGGATTTTTGCAGACGATTTTTTTTACATTTCACTGTTCAACAGATGAGAATCCGATAAAAGATCATATGTTAAAGCGCCAAAATCTGGACAGTTATCGACAAAGAATCCAGAATGAGGTTTTCCCCGATTGGAAAGAAATTGCAGAGAACAAAGAATCAACAAGGACATGGGCACCTGATTTATAAAACTATCGAAAGCAGTTGGGAAAACAAATCAAACTTACGTCTTTAAAATATAAATCTATCGAAATATCAAATAAGTTTGTACATTCAGTTACATCAGCTAAAAATTCAAAATAATATAAAATTGATTTGATTTATTTGGACAAAACGAATAAAATGTGATTTGAAAGTATGTTTTTATTAATCAACCGAGCTTGCGAGCATTGTTATTTTAGGAAATCAGTTTTTTTTTCCATCTTTTGCTGAAGTTACTGTGGTTGCTTTTAGTTACATAACAAATTATTATATGCAAAATCGTGAAGCGACAATTCGTAACAGGCGATAACTCGTAACAGGCGAAAATTCGTAACAGTAGGTTAACGGGGAAGACTGATTCACGCGCAGTGTTCCTCTCGTGCCGGACGTAAGCGCAGCGGAGCAAGCGTATTCTACTTGTCAATGTCTTGTTACGAATTGTCGCTTGTTACGAATTGTCGCCCTTTTCCTGAACAAAAATACGACCAAAATAAGTTTAACATTGTTCTTTGACGCTCAACAAATCAATGATATTTTGTGGCTTCATATTAAAAACAGAGGCAAAGAAGCAACTTTGCAAACACGAGCGAGAAAGCGGCAAATATACGGGAGCTTTAAGATGCACAAAAACTATTTGGAATGGTAGCTTTTTTGCGAAGTCCATGGTATTTTTAATCATGAAAATCGTAAAATTTGCTCACGCTCATATTTTTTCGCGGTTTTTTCTACTTAAATCACGTTAATTTGTTTCCTAAAATGAAACAAATTGCGCCTTCCAAAAATAAAAGTGTAATTGAAGTGCTAATGGCGCGAAAGAAAAACGTGATGGAACAAATGGAGGTTTAAAAGTGGATTTTAATTTATAGTATTTTCACAAAAACATTAATTGAGTCATCCAACAGTTAACTTATTTTGCAGATTTTTTGAAATTCAAGAGCTATAGGCTATTTTTCTAAAATCCAGTATCTTTTCGAACTCATGGACCCTTCCAACTGTGTGCTGTCTATGTTAGTTTACGGAAAAATTTGATATAAAAGCAATTTTTAATGTTTTTCTTTTGTCTGGCCTTAAATAGCTGTTAAAATTTTCTCAACAGTTGATGTGGTAGTTTTGCACCCATGCTGTGTTTTAATTTTGGGTCCCAAATGCGCATAGTAAATTATACTATTTTGAATCAGTATTCAGAATTTTAAATTAATCAAGCAACTTTTGATCTCATAATTTTTGTCAAATTCAAAATATTTTGAGAAAAAGTCATTTGAAGTTTCTAATTTATGTTCAGCGAAGTTTTTGAAATAACAATAGAATGGTTTAAATCAATGTTTTTTGAAAATTCTCAAATTTTTTTCGCAAAAACTCGGTTATTTAGCAGACCCTAATATTTTAAAAATCTTCTACATTTCAAGGTTTTCAACGGATTGTTCTTCAGGCGAAGTTTTTTTGCTTTTCTTAGGCTTGCCTTATCGACTGAAGTCATAGATTCCCAAACTTATCTGACAGTTTGAACAGCGTGACAGTTTGAACGAGTTAGTCCGTTAGGCGAAAAATCTGTTCTTAATACAAATACAATCAGCATAATAAAGGTCGTTATCACAGAAAGGTAAGAGAAAAACCTCTATTTTGAAACTAGAAGTCCTAGTTTTTGAGCATTTATATTTATTACTGTCAATTAATTATTTTGACAGCAAGTTATCAGTTGTTATTTACTTCAGCATTTTCTCAAGGAAGTGCCAGCGTTTTCAGTTTCTCAAGAACTTGTTTTTGAGAAGAAAATTGTCATTGCGGCTTACGGTGTGTTTCGTCCGCTTTTCGCAAAATATTGCAACGGATGGATGAAGGATTACAAAAATGTCGCCAAGGGTTGGGCGGATTTCGCGGCAGGATTGACTGAGAGGTAACAGATGATTTCTGAGCCACATTCACTTGTTGCCTATTCTACGCGTCAAAAAATGAAAAGGAATGTATAAAAAATGATGAAATAATGGATTTATTTTGGAAAAAATTTATTGTATAAAAAAAAGTTGTAGGCTCTTTTTTCATGGAACATTTTCTTTCATCGTTTTCACGTGGAGGCTTAAATACAACCTGAATACAGGTTGAGTTACTTTTGTCAATATAGAAGCACGTTGTTTTATTTCAAATATCTATTGGAAAGAAACTAACAAGAGTGTTGAGTCTAAGACTTGTTAGTCAACCAAACATCAGTAGACTGATGCAACTTCTAGTGGTGCAACTGTAAGTTTACATTGGTAAATTCAAATTGATTGACCTTACGATGAAGTTGAAATGACCAAATAATTACCCATTTAAACACTTTGTGAACATTATTTGAGAGTTACTAAAAGCGTACGGCTTTGAGTGAAAATTTTTCTACATTATTTGCGAGTTACTAAAAGCGTACGGCTTTAAGTGAAAGTTTTTCGATCCGAAAGTTGACGTTCCATTTTGCACCAATGGCTTCCAGCGAAAACATAACATTGACTGTCATTTGCAATGGAACCGAACGCTTCCAAGTCGTGATGAAAAGTCACTGGCGTTCTCTGCCGGACAACGAGGGATTCACTTTATTGCTACACGAGATCTCTATGGTATGTAGAATCAATCTAACAAAACATCATTTTGACGCTCGGATGAAGAACTGGGAAATCATAAAAGGACACAGGTCTTTATTGGTTTGATACATCAGGGGGCGAGGAGGGGCGTGCACATATTGAGCAGCTGAATTTGAGTTGTTCAGGTTTCTTGGAGATTTAGATAGATTTTTTTTCAGTTTAAACACCACCCCCCCTCCCCAACACCCCGTGTAAAGGTTATCTATTCCCCTATTCACGTGGAGGCTTAAATACAACCTGAATACAGGTTGAGTTACTTTTGTCAATATAGAAGCACGTTGTTTTATTTTAAATATCTATTGGAAAGAAACTAACAAGAGTGTTGAGTCTAAGACTTGTTAGTCAACCAAACATCAGTAGACTGATGCAACTTCTAGTGGTGCAACTGTAAGTTTACATTGGTAAATTCAAATTGATTGACCTTACGATGAAGTTGAAATGACCAAATAATTACCAATTTAAACACTTTGTGAACATTATTTGAGAGTTACTAAAAGCGTACGGCTTTGAGTGAAAATTTTTCTACATTATTTGCGAGTTACTAAAAGCGTACGGCTTTAAGTGAAAGTTTTTCGATCCGAAAGTTGACGTTCCATTTTGCACCAATGGCTTCCAGCGAAAACATAACATTGACTGTCATTTGCAATGGAACCGAACGCTTCCAAGTCGTGATGAAAAGTCACTGGCGTTCTCTGCCGGACAACGAGGGATTCACTTTATTGCTACACGAGATCTCTATGGTATGTAGAATCAATCTAACAAAACATCATTTTGACGCTCGGATGAAGAACTGGGAAATCATAAAAGGACACAGGTCTTTATTGGTTTGATACATCAGGGGGCGAGGAGGGGGCGTGCACATATTGAGCAGCTGAATTTGAGTTGTTCAGGTTTCTTGGAGAGTTAGATAGAATTTTTTTCAGTTAAAACACCACCCCCCCCCTCCCCAACACCCCGTGTAAAGGTTATCTATTCCCCTATTCATTTTATGATAAAACGCTGTCCACAATAGTTAGTTTTTCTACCATGCAGAACTGCAATAGGTTAAGTTTCTAATTAGTTTTTAATTGCCAATGAAGGTAGTGACTACACTTATATAGGTCGTAATGATGTTTTCGTTTTTATTTAACTTTTCGGGGTTTGAGGTTTGATTTCTTCTTAGATTAAAATTAAATTCATTTGCTAAAAGAAAGGCAAATTACGCTTTTGAAATAAGAAAGTCGAAATGGCGCGGCGAAAACAAAGACGAAATAACTTCTATGTTTGAAAGTGGATTCTATTCTAAGGTTTAAGATTCGATCCAGTTTTCTTTATATGGGCTAGTTTTCGGAAAATTTTGATCAAAAAGTTATCTTGAAATATAAAGAGCATCACCGTGCTATATTTCTAGTGAGATATCAAATTAAAGCCCTTTCGACGTGTTTAGAACGATTACAAAAGAAATTTCAAAAAATTTTCCAGTGGGGCGAAAAACGTTTTTTTTTAAAGTTTTTTCAAGTTATCAGTCAACTTTGAGCAAGTAAAGCAATCGAGTAACGTCCGTTATATGAAAATTTAACTTTCTATAGGCTTTAAGACTAAGAAAACTTTTTTTACTAAAAGAAAACTAGTTTTGCGCTTCTGTTGCAAATTATGTTTTTTTGTTTGTCATTCATATTTCTCGAGTATGCCTAATTCACTAATTTTTTACCCAATTGTATAGTTTTCTTATCCCACCACGCGGTGAAGAAAAAACCTTTTTGTAGTGTTTTTAAGGAATGTGGTTGAAATATTCTGTGCTACTTGCACAGCAACCGGCTATCCTTGTTTTAAATGGGATTCGGTTAGTCGATTTTCAGAAAAATCAAAACCTTAATGGAAAAGAGAGGTAGGTTTGTGTGCCATCTGAAGTTTCGTTGTATTAATCAGTTTTTCAAATGTGAAGTGGAAAAGAGCCAGAATTTGAATTCTAGGCATGGTTTTAATACTTGTTTTTTCACTAACCCTCAAGTAGTGACACAAGCTATTATAGTTAAATGTAAGGGCTCTTTCTCCTTGTAGGCCAACCTGCATTTTTACTTGTACAACTTAAGCTCACAGTAACCTACTGTTTCTAAAAATTGTTTTTAATCAGGCTATTCAAGCATGTTTTTGTCTTCATAACAATTTTTTACTGCCATAAAACTGATGTCTATGCGAGCTGGCGGAAATTTTTGGTATAATGTATGAAGGACAAATGTGTCCAGGTTAGTTAGCGGCTCTGTTTCAGTTTGCATTTTTTGATTTTCTCTGAAATTACATTTAAGAAAGCCTGTTTTAAATGACTTTTAATGTTCTAAATTGCAACAAGGCATAGCGTAAACAATTGAATCAAATGGAAAAACATTTTTTCATGCAAATTGCGGTATGAGAACAATGTTTAGACAACACTAAGTGCGGGTCGGAAGCTGGAAGAAAGCTTTGTGAGTTTGTTCACCTTATGAAGTTTCATTACCTTATGACTACGTTGAAGCGCCCAAGATTTGATAAGTTGAATACACTCCCTCCAACCAGTTGCCCTATAGTTAAAAAAACTATAATTGCTCCCTCCAACCAATGTATGGTTTTTACAATTTCAGCGGACTAAATTTGGCGCTCTGATCATTCGTGATAGTGCCTCCAATGAACAAATAAAAACATTGAATGGGCTGAAAGACAGGCAGGAAATATCAGTCGGGTCCATTCCGTCTAGAGTGACTTGTCTGGAAGATAAAGTCATTCAGTTGACTGCTCAATTAGCCGAAATGAATAAAAAATTTGAAGCCAAAACTGCACGAATTCCAGTTGCACCAAATCTTATCAAGAATAGTTTGCTTCGAGAAGTTGATATCTCGACTAGCATTCCGACTGGGTTTTGCCTCAATACTTTCAGAACTGGAGGTAGCATGAACTTTGCAGCTGTGCATCCTTATTGCCAGGGTTTTGAGGGCTGTTACACGGAAACAGCTCCCAATAATTCGGTAACGCCAGAGAAGTGTGCGGAGGCTGGTGCCGACCGGCCGGTCTGGTACGGCAGATATAACATGGGACCCCGCCGGACCAGAGGTGGACTATCGACGGGGTGGGGAACCATAACCGACGGGCATCTTTTGAAATTGAAAGGCACCCGAATCGATAAACACGAGACCACAGTAAACATGCCATGTATCGAGGCAGGGGCTGCGACCTTGGTCCGATTTACAGCTTGGATTAAGTGTGTCAAGGGAGCAGTCCAATTTTCAGTTGACTACCCGTTCTGGGACAACCCATCTGGTCTTCTGGAAGGAGAAAGAAAGAATGGCTTATGCCGAGCTCAAGATTGCGTGGGATCACCTCAAGGCAAAGCGTCTTATTGGCGTTTAAGGAGCGATCATTCTCAAAAAAAATTAAAAGTTGGATCGAAGAATTTTTTTGAAATTGTTGCTTTTATTAACATAATTCTTATTGATCGAGTTTTTTGGTCTTTAGGTCGTATGGTTGCTTTTTTTAAGGAAAAATTTCACGCTTGCTCATTTTAATACCTGGGAACGGTTCGACTTAAATTGTTTCAAGTTTAGTTTAAGAACGGAGCTTAGATACGCCTTGGATCTTTTTCCCCGCTACTATTTCTCCGCTTTTGCAAAAGTTCGTTACAAGGTGCACAATTCGTGTATGCTTATTTGTCTAATTCTTTCTTAACAGGGGAGATCTTTGTTACAACGAACGAACAATTGGGGGGGGGGGGGGTTAGTTAACAAGATCCACGCTCTTTACATGCAAAAATGCAAATGGCGAAAAAATAGAGCTTGACTTTTAGTTTCAAAGTTGGATTTTTAGTTTTCAGATTCCTAACATAATTATAAATGGAAATAAGAAAGTCGAAATGGCGCGGCGAAAACAAAGACGAAATAACTTCTATGTTTGAAAGTGGATTCTAAGGTTTAAGATTCGATCCAGTTTTCTTTATATGGGCTAGTTTTCGGAAAATTTTGATCAAAAAGTTATCTTGAAATATAAAGAGCATCACCGTGCTATATTTCTAGTGAGATATCAAATTAAAGCCCTTTCGACGTGTTTAGAACGATTACAAAAGAAATTTCAAAAAATTTTCCAGTGGGGCGAAAAACGTTTTTTTTTAAAAGTTTTTTCAAGTTATCAGTCAACTTTGAGCAAGTAAAGCAATCGAGTAACGTCCGTTATATGAAAATTTAACTTTCTATAGGCTTTAAGACTAAGAAAACTTTTTTTACTAAAAGAAAACTAGTTTTGCGCTTCTGTTGCAAATTATGTTTTTTTGTTTGTCATTCATATTTCTCGAGTATGCCTAATTCACTAATTTTTTACCCAATTGTATAGTTTTCTTATCCCACCACGCGGTGAAGAAAAAACTTTTTTGTAGTGTTTTTAAGGAATGTGGTTGAAATATTCTGTGCTACTTGCACAGCAACCGGCTATCCTTGTTTTAAATGGGATTCGGTTAGTCGATTTTCAGAAAAATCAAAACCTTACTGGAAAAGAGCCGTAAGTTTGTGTGCCATCCGAAGTTTCGTTGTATTAATCAGTTTTTCAAATGTGAAGTGGAAAAGAGCCAGAATTTGAATTATAGGCATGGTTTTAATACTTGTTTTTTTCACTACCCCTCAAGTAGTGACACAAGCTGTTATAGTTAAATGTAAGGGCTCTTTCTCCTTGTAGGCCAACCTGCATTTTTACTTGTACAACTTAAGCTCACAGTGACCTACTGTTTCTAAAAATTGTTTTTAATCAGGCTATTCAAGCATGTTTTTGTCTTCATAACAATTTTTTACTGCCATAAAACTGATGTCTATGCGAGATGGCGGAAATTTTAGGTATAACATATGAAGGACAAATGTGTCCAGGATAGTTAGCGGCTCTGTTTCAGTTTGCATTTTTTGATTTTCTCTGAAATTACATTTAAGAAAGCCTGTTTTAAATGACTTTTAATGTTCTAAATTGCAACAAGGCATAGCGTAAACAATTGAATCAAATGGAAAAACATTTTTTTCATGCAAATTGCGGTATGAACAATGTTTAGACAACACTAAGTGCGGGTCGGAAGCTGGAAGAAAGCTTTGTGAGTTTGTTCACCTTATGAAGTTTCATTACATTATGACTACGTTGAAGCGCCCAAGATTTGATAAGTTGAATACACTCCCTCCAACCAGTTGCCCTATAGTTAAAAAAACTATAATTGCTCCCTCCAACCAATGTATGGTTTTTACAATTTCAGCGGACTAAATTTGGCGCTCTGATCATTCGTGATAGTGCCTCCAATGAACAAATAAAAACATTGAATGGGCTGAAAGACAGGCAGGAAATATCAGTCGGGTCCATTCCGTCTAGAGTGACTTGTCTGGAAGATAAAGTCATTCAGTTGACTGCTCAATTAGCCGAAATGAATAAAAAATTTGAAGCCAAAACTGCACGAATTCCAGTTGCACCAAATCTTATCAAGAATAGTTTGCTTCGAGAAGTTGATATCTCGACTAGCATTCCGACTGGGTTTTCCCTCAATACTTTCAGAACTGGAGGTAGCATGAACTTTGCAGCTGTGCATCCTTATTGCCAGGGTTTTGAGGGCTGTTACACGGAAACAGCTCCCAATAATTCGGTAACGCCAGAGAAGTGTGCGGAGGCTGGTGCCGACCGGCCGGTCTGGTACGGCAGATATAACATGGGACCCCGCCTGACCAGAGGTGGACTATCGACGGGGTGGGCAACCATAACCGACGGGCATCTTTTGAAATTGAAAGGCACCCGAATCGATAAACACGAGACCACAGTAAACATGCCATGTATCGAGGCAGGGGCTGCGACCTTGGTCCGATTTACAGCTTGGATTAAGTGTGTCAAGGGAGCAGTCCAATTTTCAGTTGACTACCCGTTCTGGGACAACCCATCTGGTCTTCTGGAAGGAGAAAGAAAGAATGGCTTATGCCGAGCTCAAGATTGCGTGGGATCACCTCAAGGCAAAGCGTCTTATTGGCGTTTAAGGAGCGATCATTCTCAAAAAAAATTAAAAGTTGGATCGAAGAATTTTTTTGAAATTGTTGCTTTTATTAACATAATTCTTATTGATCGAGTTTTTTGGTCTTTAGGTCGTATGGTTGCTTTTTTTTAAGGAAAAATTTCACGCTTGCTCATTTTAATACCTGGGAACGGTTCGACTTAAATTGTTTCAAGTTTAGTTTAAGAACGGAGCTTAGATACGCCTTGGATCTTTTTCCCCGCTACTATTTCTCCGCTTTTGCAAAAGTTCGTTACAAGGTGCACAATTCGTGTATGCTTATTTGTCTAATTCTTTCTTAACAGGGGAGATCTTTGTTACAACGAACGAACAATTGGGGGGGGGGGGGGTTAGTTAACAAGATCCACGCTCTTTACATGCAAAAATGCAAATGGCGAAAAAATAGAGCTTGACTTTTAGTTTCAAAGTTGGATTTTTAGTTTTCAGATTCCTAACATAATTATAAATGGAAATAAGAAAGTCGAAATGGCGCGGCGAAAACAAAGACGAAATAACTTCTATGTTTGAAAGTGGATTCTAAGGTTTAAGATTCGATCCAGTTTTCTTTATATGAGCTAGTTTTCGGAAAATTTTGATCAAAAAGTTATCTTGAAATATAAAGAGCATCACCGTGCTATATTTCTAGTGAGATATCAAATTAAAGCCCTTTCGACGTGTTTAGAACGATTACAAAAGAAATTTCAAAAAATTTTCCAGTGGGGCGAAAAACGTTTTTTTTTTTAAAGTTTTTTCAAGTTATCAGTCAACTTTGAGCAAGTAAAGCAATCGAGTAACGTCCGTTATATGAAAATTTAACTTTCTATAGGCTTTAAGACTAAGAAAACTTTTTTTACTAAAAGAAAACTAGTTTTGCGCTTCTGTTGCAAATTATGTTTTTTTGTTTGTCATTCATATTTCTCGAGTATGCCTAATTCACTAATTTTTTACCCAATTGTATAGTTTTCTTATCCCACCACGCGGTGAAGAAAAAACCTTTTTGTAGTGTTTTTAAGGAATGTGGTTGAAATATTCTGTGCTACTTGCACAGCAACCGGCTATCCTTGTTTTAAATGGGATTCGGTTAGTCGATTTTCAGAAAAATCAAAACCTTACTGGAAAAGAGCCGTAAGTTTGTGTGCCATCCGAAGTTTCGTTGTATTAATCAGTTTTTCAAATGTGAAGTGGAAAAGAGCCAGAATTTGAATTATAGGCATGGTTTTAATACTTGTTTTTTTCACTACCCCTCAAGTAGTGACACAAGCTGTTATAGTTAAATGTAAGGGCTCTTTCTCCTTGTAGGCCAACCTGCATTTTTACTTGTACAACTTAAGCTCACAGTGACCTACTGTTTCTAAAAATTGTTTTTAATCAGGCTATTCAAGCATGTTTTTGTCTTCATAACAATTTTTTACTGCCATAAAACTGATGTCTATGCGAGATGGCGGAAATTTTAGGTATAATGTATGAAGGACAAATGTGTCCAGGTTAGTTAGCGGCTCTGTTTCAGTTTGCATTTTTTGATTTTCTCTGAAATTACATTTAAGAAAGCCTGTTTTAAATGACTTTTAATGTTCTAAATTGCAACAAGGCATAGCGTAAACAATTGAATCAAATGGAAAAACATTTTTTCATGCAAATTGCGGTATGAGAACAATGTTTAGACAACACTAAGTGCGGGTCGGAAGCTGGAAGAAAGCTTTGTGAGTTTGTTCACCTTATGAAGTTTCATTACCTTATGACTACGTTGAAGCGCCCAAGATTTGATAAGTTGAATACACTCCCTCCAACCAGTTGCCCTATAGTTAAAAAAACTATAATTGCTCCCTCCAACCAATGTATGGTTTTTACAATTTCAGCGGTTTAAATTTGGCGCTCTGATCATTCGTGATAGTGCCTCCAATGAACAAATAAAAACATTGAATGGGCTGAAAGGCAGGCAGGAAATATCAGTCGGGTCCATTCCGTCTAGAGTGACTTGTCTGGAAGATAAAGTCATTCAGTTGACTGCTCAATTAGCCGAAATGAATAAAAAATTTGAAGCCAAAACTGCACGAATTCCAGTTGCACCAAATCTTATCAAGAATAGTTTGCTTCGAGAAGTTGATATCTCGACTAGCATTCCGACTGGGTTTTCCCTCAATACTTTCAGAACTGGAGGTAGCATGAACTTTGCAGCTGTGCATCCTAATTGCCAGGGTTTTGAGGGCTGTTACACGGAAACAGCTCCCAATAATTCGGTAACGCCAGAGAAGTGTGCGGAGGCTGGTGCCGACCGGCCGGTCTGGTACGGCAGATATAACATGGGACCCCGCCGGACCAGAGGTGGACTATCGACGGGGTGGGGAACCATAACCGACGGGCATCTTTTGAAATTGAAAGGCACCCGAATCGATAAACACGAGACCACAGTAAACATGCCATGTATCGAGGCAGGGGCTGCGACCTTGGTCCGATTTACAGCTTGGATTAAGTGTGTCAAGGGAGCAGTCCAATTTTCAGTTGACTACCCGTTCTGGGACAACCCATCTGGTCTTCTGGAAGGAGAAAGAAAGAATGGCTCATGCCGAGCTCAAGATTGCGTGGGATCACCTCAAGGCAAAGCGTCTTATTGGCGTTTAAGGAGCGATCATTCTCAAAAAAAAATAAAAGTTGGATCGAAGAATTTTTTTGAAATTGTTGTTTTTATTAACATAATTCTTATTGATCGAGTTTTTTGGTCTTTAGGTCGTATGGTTGCCTTTTTTAAGGAAAAATTTCACGCTTGCTCATTTTAATACCTGGGAACGGTTCGACTTAAATTGTTTCAAGTTTAGTTTAAGAACGGAGCTTAGATACGCCTTGGATCTTTTTCCCCGCTACTATTTCCCCGCTTTTGCAAAAGTTCGTTACAAGGTGCACAATTCGTGTATGCTTATTTGTCTAATTCTTTCTTAACAGGGGAGATATTTGTTACAACGAACGAACAATTGGGGGGGGGGAGGGGGGTTAGTTAACAAGATCCACGCTTTTTACATGCAAAAATGCAAATGGCGAAAAAATAGAGCTTGACTTTTAGTTTCAAAGTTGGATTTTTAGTTTTCAGATTCCTAACATAATTATAAATGGCTAGTTTTCTCAAATTTACTCAGTTTTTTAAATTGACAATCCTAAAAGATTCTTGGTGCTCTCTGCAATGATGAAGTTTTTCTATATGGTGGGGGAAGACATAAGACATGCATTTTCGTCCGTTTCAAAAATAGCCGCTTTTTGGGAATGTCCCACGTTTCGCCGCACACACATTTCGCCCCTCTTAAATCTAGTGGCACATTTCGCCCCCTAATAATTTCACACATTTCGTCCTCGCACGTTTCGCCCCTAACTTATTACACAGTTAATTAACGCCGCTTTGTTAATGCACACTTTAGGGGCGAATTGTGCGTGTAATTTATGAGGGGCGAAATGTGCGAGGGGGCGAAATGTGGCACTAGATTTAAGAGGGGCGAAATGTGTGAATACAGTTTTTTTGGTTCCGTTGAGCCTGTACACTTTGTTTTTTTAAAAAAAACTTGAAATTGGATGCGTTGCTCATGTTGTTTCGAAGTAATAACGAGCATAAATACACACTGTTTGATATCAGCTTTTCTATATCAGTTTTTTCTGTAATTTTCTGATATGCTGATTTTTTGGACGCAAGGTGGATACTTTTGCAATTGCATTCAACAATGCCTCAAAAAATGTTTAATTCCTTATAGTTTTAGTTCAGACTTTCGTAGAAAGTGAGGGAATATTTGTTTTCAGCTTCCTCGAGCTCATTTATTTTTTCCAATCGACCTTTGACTAAATTAATTTCTTTGAGAAAATGCGAACTTAAAATTGGCCGCTCTGTCTCCAGGTTGGTTTAAAATGGACGATTTGGTATCAATCAGCAATATAACAAAATTAAACTACTGTGATAGTTTTCTACTGCGATGTTTCGGACCTACCGGTAGTGGCGGATTGGGAGACTTCGAGATCTTCATCGCTCTTCCCCGTGCAAGTCTGGTGGATGCAGAAAACAAGGTTACTTTGTTGCCGTACCCAAGTGAATGGTAATAATCAACAAGAACTTTTCTCTGCTGTCAATGTGAAACTTTAAAGTTACTTAATGTTACAAGTTTCAGACGATTTCACGAGTAAATTGAGGATAAAATTTCAATTCAATTGAATTTTGCTTGTTTAAACTGTTTTTTTTTGAGTGCCTATTATCAACAAACTAGCTCCAAGAAATTTTATTACCATCGGGCTTTTTGATCTTCTTAATAAGTGACTTTCTCTCATTTAAGTGTCAATGAGCAATATGAATACACTTATTTAGGTCCAAACTTTTGTTTCAGAAAAAAAATCGAAAATTGTTCACGTTCATAATTGATGTTTTGTTGTTGAATTTTAATCGTGAAGTTCAATTCAAACTAATTTGCTAAACAGAAATCACGTTACGTTCTCCAATAACAAAAATTCAAATAGAGTGGAAAAAAAACGCGAATGAATTTTATCTTAAAAAACGAAGTTCATTTTTTTTAGAATCCCCAGCAGAATGAAAAATTTAAAAACTTAGCGGAATGAAAAATTGAACAAAAAAACTATTGATCATAAAAAAAGCTAAAAAATTGAAAACAGCACGTAAAGAATCTTTTTTTTTTCAGAGTCGATGAGCGTAGTTTAGACTCTTATAAAGGACGCAATGATTTTTTCCCGTTTTTTTTAGGAAAAATCTTGAAAGTTGTTTAGGCTCAAATTAACTCTTTCGCGATTCGATTGCTTTTTAGTTAGTTATTTTCCTTTGTTAAAAGGAATGCAATCTTTACTATCAAACGGCAAAACTCTAGGTTCACAATAAATGTCATCAATTTCTAGTTTGGAATGTGGAATTCAATTTTCAGATTTCCCAGCGAAATAAAAGTCGTACTTATTGATCCAGTTTTGTCAAAATGGTTTAATTTTACAAAAGAACTTCCAATCATAAATTGTTTTAGAAATTCAACTAGCCTTAAATTTTTTGAATTTTGGAAGGCGAGATTTTTCATTGAAAACAAGTCAGTATTGGGTTAGTTTTACTAAAATAACTTTACTAAAGAACTTCCAATGATAAATTGTTTTAGAAATTCAACTAGCTCTAAATTTTTTGAATTTCGAAAGGCGAGATTTTTTATTGAAAACAAATCAGTATACTTTTTCTGTTTAATAGGGTTCATTGACTCTTTTCAAACTGTCTGGTGGCTATGTTTTTGTTTTATTGATTTCATTGATACTTCTCTAATTCTCTCGGCTGAGCTTAGAAAAACACAGAGTTATAATGGATGAATTGCTTTTATTTTTTGATATCAGTTGCATCGTACCTTTTTCAAGTTTTAAGAGTCGACTAACGCAGTGAAAACGTAAATAGTTCTTGATGATTATTTTTTTCAGGAAAAGTCTTAGAATTTTTTCACCCTTTAATTTGGTTTTCCGCTGTTTGACTTCCGATTTTTTGAAGTTCAGATCATTGCTTTTGTTAAAAGAAAGTCAAACTCCTTTATCGAATAGGAAAAATATAATTGTCACAAAAAATGTGATCTACTTTTAATTTCAAAAAGGTAGTTTAATTTTCATATTCCGCTGCGGAATAAAACTTTTTACCTATTGATGTAGTTATGTTTAATTTGAGTTAATGTTGCTTTAAGACTAAAAACTGTTTCTGTTTTTATTTTTAATTTTTCTAACCACCGGTCCTACTCAGTACAGTACCAGCCGTGAGGAGAGCGATGCCATCCATTTTGCCATGGTTGCCACGGTTCCACCTGGAGGAGGCGGATGACACTAGGACCCCTGTACCCGTGACCGAAGCTCGTTTTGAACGCACGGCACTCCTTTGCATTTAGAGACGCTCTCGTTAATCCACTCGACGATGGATGCACTCACATTAATCGACTCTATTCTAACTGTGTGTCGGCTTAGTTTGCTTCTTTAGTTGGTTTTTTCTTAAGTTGAAGCGCTTTCGCTAGAAGTCAGTTTCTGGCAGTTAGGATTTTTTATCCTCTAAATGAGATAGGACTCTTTTTTCAACTGCTGCTGCAATGATGACATGCCAAATGGAAATTAAATTACACATGCTTCACAGCGCGAATCACTAAACACATCACAGATGATTTTACTCTAGCTATAGAAAATTTTTGAAAAAACTTTTTTGCTAGGGAATTTTTGCATTTTCCGAGCGGATATTTCAATTGATAGCTTGTGTTTTTCCTGAAATAATTTATTAGTAGGGTACTGATAAAGAAAAGGGACTGATCCAGGGGTGAATTTAATAGGCAAATAAGAGAGACAGTAACGGAAACAAAGTAGAAGCAAGGCACCCAAT